AAAAAAAAACAGTTATTACACAGAAAATGACTAATACTGTGAGACAGACAGAGGCCATATGGCACGTTTCTTGCTACTGGCTCTTATATTATGTCAAGCTGTTATAAATGACACATGTAACTACTTTCTACAATACTGCCATCAACAGAAATGAAGTAATCTGTGTTGAATATGGTTTTAATGTTAGTTATCTAATTATGCTGCGGTTACAAAAATTTAGAGCAGTAACCCAAAGCGATTTTAAATCACTAAGTTATGTGACAGAATTTTTCATTCATTCAATTTTTCAAATCTTCATGGCCTGCCTGAAGCTCACAGAGATACAGAATGAATTGACGGGTCAAACTACAGCGATGCACCATCTCAGGCTCGTGCACATAAACTGTAAAGCAGTTAATCCCACGCAGCCCTCCACAAAACCATTCACACTAAGAAATCGTGTTGTTTTGGCAAATCAGAGGTGTGCTGAATGGGAAGTCACTTTGTGGTCACATGTTGTCCAAGATTTCTTTGCCATATTGTCCTCGTTGTAGCACGGGTAGCATGAGGGGAGGGTGTGCGAGTGCACTGCTGCTGATTTGACTTTTCTCAGGAGTGACAAATGACAAGATTTAGAGAATTTGGTGGCCAGCTGTCAGATCAGTCAGAGGAGCCAGACAAGAAAAGGTTATAAATTATTCATTCTTCCTGGGTGTCTGTCGGACGGATGGACAGACAGAAGAACCAAAGCAACTGAGCCATGACTCCCCCCCCCCTCTACCGCCATCATCCCACCCCAAGTGCGTGTGTGGCTGGGTGGGTGGCACTGCCGCACATTCTGCTCATCCATCTGGTTCACTTGGGGAATGACAGCGTGATATTTGCATTGGAAAGAAAGGGGAAAATGTTACCAGGCTAGATTTGAAATGCTTTCGGCCCGATTCGAACCCCCGCTCACATCTCATGTTCTGTGTTTTTTTCAAAGCTAAGCAGAGCAAATATTTCACTCACACACATCACAACAAATAAAGCTCTTTACACTTTGATTTAGTATGATATGAGCAAGGAGCAGTGACATACGTACTGTGGGCAAATTTCCAAGCCTGTTTCTCTCTCCAGAGGCCCGCTGCATTATGCATATTTCTGCTTGATGTAAACAACAGCTAGCTGCAGCGCTTTTAATGCATTATTCAAGGTTATACTATGAATTAACTCAGTTACAATGAAACGCTCCCTTTTAAGTTCTGCATCAGCAGAGTTACATCACTTTTGGAAAACATGAAAAAGAAGAGGAGGATAAATTGTAGCTTTAAAATGCTTTTGATTCAACTCACGTTTGTTTTTGGAGAAGCAGCATCCTTGGAAAAGATTTCCAGCGTATTTGTGAGTCCAGCTTGGGGCATCATAAATCTCTGCTTGTATTACTTTCTCATTTCTCGTCTATTTCGCACCTGTCAGGTGGAACCTTTGTTCCAGATATGGTAATGTTTACATTTTTTACCACAGTGTTTTGCATACAGATTTATTCTACACACCGGGTCGCAGGACAACCCAAATCTAACACAAAACAATGCAGAAAAAAACATGCACATTTTCCTGAAAAACACTATTTTCACACAAGTTATGTATCAGATTCTTAAAATCTTCTTGACCACCACAAAATGAATGCAACTTTAATTTTTACTTTTATGTGCACTCCAGTTTTGTTGTTGCTTACGGTCATAATCTTGGCTTGTTGAAACAAAAGTAACGCCAAAAAAAGGCCTTAAAAATTTAATTGTTGACAATTCAGGGTGATGTTTATTGAACAGTCTTTTTGATTCAATGTGACACATCAGTGCTGGCTCATTTTTTGAGCTCAGCTTTTGTATTTTATCTTTTTAAAGACCAACGCAAACCCTCCCCTCTACTTTATTGTTTATCTAGTAATAGACAGCTTCATGTGGAGAAGTTTCATCTTTTCAGTGGCACATTTCTTCCCAGGAAATGAAAATAAACTTGCTGAAAAACATGAAAGCACACAAATTGTTATTTGCTGTTGATGGCTGGTGACCATGAACACTGGAGCCAGCTTTTCTTGGCCAAGAAGCTTGTTGACTGTCCACGCATTGGCAGAGTTTTCTTGATAGTTGTTCTCATAGGAAATAAATGTACTTCCAATTTATTTTAACTATGTTTCTTTTTTAGTTTTGAAAAGTCTCAGGAAATAGAAATTTACCAAAGTAGTCATTAAAGATTGAGAAGAAATGCTTCATTTCTACATCCTTTTATAGCTGAATACAGAGACAGTCCTTTGCTTTACAGCAACAAAGCAGGGCTGTCTCTCAGGCAGCCATTTACGCAGATATTTCATATAACTTCTGGCAGCTGAAGAGAAGGAAAGTCCTCCTACAGACAGTGCCAAACTACATTTTGGATTGCAGCCAATGTACAGCATTGATTCAGTAATAATACAGTAAATTCTGGGGCTTCCATAAAGGCTACATCTGTATTGTCATAAACCTTTGTGAGTTAAAACCAATAAAACTGTGACTGGTTTTGTTTTATGTCTCGCCTAAACAGGGGTCGATCTGCTGGCGCTGTACAACCACCCACCGGTCCGAGAGGGCCAGGTGAAGTACTACACTGTCAAGGTGCCTCTGCGAGTTCAAAATTGTGACGAAGGGGTCAAAGGGGTGGAGGCCAACTGGTTGGATCACATGACCCAGCACTTCAACAACGGAGCCTCGCTGGTCGATGGATATTTCCACCTGGGCAACATGAATGGTGAGCAGGCTTGACTCGCTGTTCCTGCAGCATATACAGGTTTTCTAAGAAAAATGATTTTTGGAGAAAATATTCAGTGTGTTGGTTTTTTTTTTGTTCCACACACTGTGATTTTGGGTAAACTCCACATACACAAAAGCAGAATGATAGGTTTGAAATGTAAAAACACTTGAATAATGCATTCATATTCCCTTAAATATCAAAAGAGTCTTTATCATTGCTTGGCTTCTTGGCTTCAGCAGAATAATTCTTCCACTAGCATGCTCAAAGCTATTACAGTTATTAAATATAAAAAAAAGTTTCCCAAATTACCCCTTTTCCTTTCACTGTATTGCCAGTAAAAATGTGAATGTCAGACAGAAGCTCACTTCAACCTCTATAAAATGAAAAGACTGTGACAGGTAATGATGCACCTTGCCCTGTATGGCATTAATTATGCATTAGCTAACATTTATTTTCTTCCAGAAAGCAATGAAATTATATTTGATTAACACTTGTAAATTGCTCTTGTACTTTTTCTCCTTCTGTGTCAAGAAGTGGTGCAATCCTGTAGGATGGAAACTTCACATAGACGCTATGTGACAACTGCAGAAGAAATCACTATTGTGTTTGAAATTCTGACCCCAATTAAGGATTATTATTATTTTTTATAAACGTTTGATAAAAGATCACTGGCTATACTCATAATGAGTCTTTTTGCACAGCTTTGACTTATTTTATGCCATTTTTCTGTCCTCTCGATGACACAAGCAACACAACTGTCTTTGCCAGTCTTATTATTCCAGTCACCTTCCACCAAGTTAGCTCAGTGTACTGCACAATGATATACTGTATTGTGAAAAAGTATATGAGTGAATGGTACGACAAAACAAAGAACTATTGACTTATGACGCAAACAATTTGGATTATCAGAAAAAAAGTTGTGCTCTTAGAAATTATATCTTAAGCAACCAGTAAGATAACCAGTAGGGAAAACTGTGCATTCCCCAACCATTTGTCAAGTGGTTGCTGGAGGTTGCTGGCTGATTGCTAGGTGAAATTGGTTGAAAAGAGGGTGTTGCTCTAAAACAGCGGTCCGCAAACCCCGGGCCTCGGACCGGTACCGGTCCGTGAGTCGTTTGGTACCGGGCCGCGAGAGTTGAGGCTCAGGTGTGAAATGTATGTTTTTCAGGGTTTTTATCGGTTTTCAGCGTTATTTTGTTATCGTTTTTATCGTTTACTCGGTTTTCCTTGGTCTTTTCACGTGTGTTATGAATAAATTTTCTTTTTTTCGGTACCGGTACTAGTTTTATTTTGTTGTATTTATCCGCGACACCTTAAAGGCCGGTCCGTGAAAATATTGTCGTGCATAAACCGGTCAGTGGCGCAAAAAAGGTTGGAGACCGCTGCTCTAAAAGCCCCCCACATGGTTGGTTTGCCCTAGGTTGCTTTGGTTGCTAGCAGACTGCTGCAGATGCTAGCAGTTGTTCTCCATAGCCCCATAACTACTACTCAACAAGTAGTTGGCAAGAGTTTTTGCAGAAAAATTGACTTGAATAATGAGTTAAATTAATTAATTCCCCCAGTGGAGAAAAATACTTTATGCAAGTTTCAGTATCTCGAGCCATGGATCCTGTGCTAGTCGTATGACTTGAGTCTGGCAGTAGGTCAGTCTACTATATTTATTATATTTATTTAAAATTTTATGAAGATATTTAAAGTCTCCAGAGTTTTTCACGTCTCTGGTGAAACATGCTAGCATGATCCGGACAGTTGAGATTATCTATAAAACAAAGGGTAGCTGTGTGAAACACTAGCAAACACACTAGGATGTTGAGCCTGATTATACGTGTTTAACATTGGCATTGTAAGCATTCGACATGATTTTGTAGAATCTGTTTTTAAGTGACCAGAGTTTTGGTAACAGATCCTTCGCCCAAAGACTAAATCAGAAAACTAGCTGAAATTAATATTATAATATTAGAAAAAATCTCAATGTTTAAACTCTGCATCACATCGTAGCACACATTGAACTCTTTGAAAGACTTTTTCTACACATGAATGGAGAAGAGATACATCACATGGCTAACATTAGCTGCTGGTCAGCACTGTGAAATGAGGCCTTGAAGTAAATTAAGACACTGCATCACTGCAGTCCCATCAGTGTGCTGTCTCTGACATAATCTTCATACATTTGGAAGATGTAAGTCACGAAGCTGGTATCCTCTTTTAAACTATTTCCTGTTTGGGTTTTCCTCTTCCATCAGACCCCAGCGGCTCTGTGCTTGACTCTGACACTGGAGAAAAAAGCCAACCAGAGTAAATAAGAGTCATAATTCATTAATCTGGGAAAGTGAACGCCTCAGTAACTCTGAAACGCAGATAATTAACCTGATAACAAATTAGTGCCTCCTTGCATATTTTATGTCCTGAGAATGGAGTAATGAAGTGTATTATTATGATTCAATGTTTTCTGCCTGTTAGGGTCCTCTAACATATTCTGCGTTTTTCTCGTGCTGCTAAGATATGCATCTCTTGAACAGTGAATTTACTCGTTAGGATAGAAAGCATATCAGCTTACGCTCAACCACTTTGGAAAACAGACAACTTTATAGAGGTGAACGCTGTACTTTTTGGATTTTGGTCTCTTGAGAGCAGCTGGCAGTATGACATCAAAGCAGCACCCCGTTTGTTGTTAGCAGCTAATTACATCAAACAGCCGCGCAGCTTAGGGCTTTAGAATTGGTATCCATTCCTGCCGTCTCCATATTTAGCAACTTCTTTGAAAAGAGTTCCTGAATTCAGAACGAGACAGTCTACATGTTGCAGGGGACCATCTCAACCTTATTAACAACGTGTAAATGTTTGACAGCAATACAATAAAGGAGACAGACTGACAGATATGTGGTTGGATGGGAGGATATAGTGACAGTGACAGCCTTATTTACAGCCTCGAGACAGAGCGGCATGGTTGTCATGTGTGTCTAATGAGTATAATTATTCTATTTTTTTAAGACTGACCTTTTGCCCTGTTTTTTTTTTCACTTTAATTTTGTTGTGCCTTTGAATTCTACATCTTTTATTACTTTAATAATGCTGAGCTGGCTTAGTTTGTATTAGCTTCATTATAAAATGTCTCACTGAATCAGGAAACGACATCCAGGGTTGAAATATGGAATCAAGTATTTTATTTCATTTTATTCTTTTTACTTAACCTTTATTTGTACAGTTGATCTCTCTTGTAAATGAGTCTCATTAAGAGCTGTTCCTACATGGGTCTCTAATGGTCATTTGATGCTGCATCTATTGCAAGGGATCCCCAATAGACTCACATGTTAATATACTCACCTTTACAGCAGAAATGAAGAGCAAGGTGCACAAAGTCAGGCTTTGGTTGCTGCACAGGTGGTGGTGGAGGAGGCCATGCATAAGTAAAGCTGCAGCCCTCTTGGTTAGGTCTCTCTTGAAAAAGCGATTTTGGGTCTCAATGAGACTTCTACCTGGATATATAAATTATATATATGGAGGGAGATCATTTGAGTGACATGTGGATGTTTTCATAACTTGTTCAGGGTTCATTTATTCTGAAATATACTCAAAGCAGTTGATGAGTTTTTCTTGTACACACATTTTATTTTAAGTCAGTATTTTTTTTAACTCAAAATTCACATCACATACCAGAGTAACCAAGCTAAGCAGAGCTAGCAGTAGCTGACAACTCCCTAGCTCTGCAACAAAATGTATCCAGACTGCTCCCCCCTCTGTGAAAAATGTATGATACATTATGGAAATCTGTTACATTGTTTTGCACTTTGTCCAAGGCTTCAGGGTTTTTGGTGTGACATTTTTACCTACTTGTCTAATATTTTTAAGAGTAAGATTGAGCCAAATCCGATAGTAATTATCTTTGGGATCTCCAAAGAAACACAAAATTTACAACACTCTCAAAAAAGGTTTATGTCATATGCATTGATTATTGCAAAGAAACTGATCCTGCAGCTTTGGAAAGGCAAAGAGACTCCTGTATTAAAGACGTGGCTTACAGGACTTACAAATACTCTTCATCTTGAAAAAATAAGATATACCATGAATGATAATGTAAAAGACTTTGAATTAATCTGGCACCCTTTACTTACATACCTTGGGAAAATATAAACTTTCCTTTTTTCTGGCAGTCGGGGGATTGGGGCCCATAGTGGGTTTTTTTTTTTGTTTTTTTTTTTTTTTTTGTTGTTGTTTATTTGTCTGTTTTGTTAGCTTAGAGAAAAAAGGGGCATACGCTCTATCAATTTGTAACAACCATGATACTTGCTCCTAATAATAAAAGATATTTGAGAAAAGTTTTTACAATATTTTCAGGTTAGCTTTGAGAGACGTTGTAGTGAAAGCTTATAGCCTTTATCTGTTTCAACCAAGTAGTGTTCATAATATGTTATAGTAAATTTGTGGTTTTAGCATGAAGTCAAACGCTAACCTACTGTTATTCAGGAAGTGATCCTGTAATTAATCTACATATTAATATAAATCATTTGTTAATCAAAGCTGCTGCCAGTTGCGTTTGCATTTGAAGTAAATTCATTGATTCAATTAAGAAAACAGAGTAATCCCACAGCTATCATTCTGGAAAGTTTCTTCACAAGATGCCTTGTTTTCATCCTCTCTACCTGTTTGTTATTATTCAGAACATGAATTGATTTGCAGCCAACAGAAAAATGACCTGCTAATGACAAAGTTTCCCCCCAGGATTTTTTCAGCAGCTGTGTGATTATGCATGTCCATTAACATTTGACACAGAACCCTTATTTATAAGCACTGCCAGAAAAAGGCTTTAAACAGCCACGGGTTCATTATACTTAGGTTATTTTATTTTTGTTCCCCTTGTGATGTGTATATTAATTTACAGGGAGCTTTTGACCCCTGCTTTACGCGTGTGGGGAGAGCAAGTCCCTAATAATTCACATACAGTGTGCAGTTATATTTTGCGAGGTCTTTATGCCACCACAATATAAAAATACATCATTCAAATTGGATATTC